AGAATCTATTAAATAAATACAATTTAAAATTAACAAACTTACAAACTTATTTTATATAATAAAACCTTATTGTTTAAACACATTTTAACCAATTTACGATATTAATACAACAAACGAGCTAAAACTTACCTAATGATACCGACATTTTTATTTTGATCTAAAACTGAACGAATGCCTAAATTTTTAATATATTTATGTTTTGAATTCAAAAGAGGATCATGATATCAAATACTTATAACCTCAAACATTGCGAAAAAAGTTTCAATTACCACTTGTAGTTGCATACAACCACTCATATTAAATGATTCAATCGCCAATATAATTTAAATAAAGCTTTGTAACGCTAAGAAAATTTTATGTATAACTATATAAAAATGTCATATTAAAACTCACTTTAACCAATTCACGATATTAATACAACAAAAAAGCTAAAACTATTTTAATACGACATAATTTTTTTAAAATTATTATTCATGTGAGATATAACAGTACCAAGTAGTAGTACTTATTTAGATATATTTTTTACTTAAATATACATATGTATGTCGTAATCAAATGTGGAAGTTCTTTGATAGTTTCAAAAATATCCTGTTATGAAACAGTTCAGTGTTGACAACTTTGCATTTTTATCGTAAACAAATAGCCACTGTTTACAATTGATTAAAACTGTTAATTTAGCGGAATCAAAAATAAAATTTAAAATAAGAATCCAAATTATTAAATTACTTGAAAATAAATATCAAAAAATAATGTTTCCAATGTTTACTTTAGCTAAATATATATTTCACAATTTAATGCGCATAAAATTTTAATACATATAAAAATTCAATTTCTTCCAAATAATGATAAAAAATATATGTATAGTTATATGTAAAGAATAATTCAGTCTACTGCGTATGAATTATATACAGAGTATTCCGTCTTTGTGACAATATTTTGAAATTTTTGCGGAAAGAATGGTTCTAATTTATTCATTAATAATAAGGAGATATTAATGTTCCACAAATTTAAAAAATATTTTAATTATATTCGGAAGAATTAACATTATTGCATCAAAATATAACCTAATTTAAAGTTACAATATTTTTTTAGCTAAACCATGTCTATTAAAATTAAAGATGTAGATAATAATTTGCCATTGCCAGTTGAAAAACTTCCAAAATGTTGGAATGAAGAAGAAAGAATGAATGCTTTATTTTCTCCTTTTCGGAGTAAAGCAGCCAATCCACAAGATTGGGTGTCAAAATATAAATTTTGGCAAAATCTAATATATGAATGGTTAAAATATACTAAGAAAAGCAGTTTTTCTATTATAGACTTAAGTGATACCTTTAAAAGAAATGGTTGCACACCACTTTGTTTAGTAACTGTTGTTGAAGAGCTTTTACGGTAACAATTTTTATCAATTTCCATTTTGACTAACAATATTTTCGTACTGATGATTAATCCATGCAATATTACAGGAATAATGAAATAATTTCAGAGGCAGAATTTTTAAAAGAACCTTATGAATCATGGACAGCATGGTCAATTGATATATTTGTAAAAAGGCCACTCACATGGTCATATTCAAAAGTTAAAAGTTATGTTATAAACAATGAAATTAATAAGAACACTAGGTATATACATTTACAAGTTCTTAGAGAATTTGGAAATACTATATTTTCTATTTTAGAAGAAAAAAAGGAAAATATTCTTATGCCATACTGTGAGCTACTAAAAACTTGTAAATCTCAAATAGATACAAATATGTCAGATAAGACTATAATGTTGGCTTTAATATGGTTAAAACGCGAAAAAAAAGTGGTTTTTAGAAAAAGTGAAAATGAAAATGAGTTATTAATTAAAATTGCTCTACATTTATCAGATAGTGTAACAGATATTGAGGAAGGCATATATAAGTTAATGAAACAGGAAAATGAACTTATAAAAGAAATAGAACTTATGGAAGAAGAAAAAATTAATATTATTAATGAAACTAAATTATATTTAACTAAAGGATTACGACAGGTAGCAAAAACACATTTGAGGAAAAAGATACAATTAGAAAATACAATTGCAAAACGAGCACACACCCTTGAAAATATCCAAAGTCTCATATCAAGCATTCAAAATACTCACATGAATACTACTGTACTATCAGCATACAAAACTGGGTCTGATGTACTAAAAAAACTTAACGAAAGTGGTTTATCAGAATCGAATGTTAGAGATATTGTAGATGAACTCTCAGAGGTAAGAAAACTTAAAAATCAAACTGTTAATGTTTTTATAGTGAAATATTTAATTATGTTCATATAAATTTTAGGCTTTAGAAGAACAGAAAGAAGTACAATCTCTTTTGTCAGAATCTTTTAAAAGTGATGACTTAAATATTGATTTAGAGCAAGAATTAGAAGAATTAGTAAAGCTTGATGATAATGTTTTACCCTCTGTACCAAATACAAAACTAAGTTCTAATATTGATGAACTTCATAAAAACTTTAAAAATTTACACATTGGAGGTAAGATATTTGTAATGCTTTAACCATATATCACTTTTATATGATTTATTGTTATTCTTTTATAGGCATTGCTGTATCTAATAATTCATCTGAATCACAAAACAGTATTCACAAAAAAAAGAAGCTAATGAAACATGCTGAATGTGTATAATTATCAATCATACATAGGTAAGATCAAAATCTCTTCATATATGAAGTTCATCTTTCTGTGATAATTGCACAAATTATTTATATGTATTTTCAGTTACTAATATTGTGTATGGTTTGATAAATCATGTTATGTACAAAAACCGTATTTTTAATGAACATTGATATAAACAATAATGAATATTGATATAAACAATTTTAAATATAATGTAATGTAATATAATATGAAAATATATAATTAATTGTATACAACACATTTGTAAGATTATGTAGTTCATATTTTATTGTTGTTTTCATTAATACATAATAATAATAGAAAAGAAGATGATAAAGGAATGATGGTGTATTGGTACAATGAGTATAATGTAATTATGGTTTTTCTACATTATACATATGTGTACATATTGTCATAGGCAACTCTGTAAGACTTCAATTAAACCTCACTTTTAAAGGTAAACATTGCATGTTTCGATAGAATTACTTGATATAGATAAATGCAAAAAGAATTATTATGATGCAAAACATGCTGGTGGCTTTTTTTGGGCTCCTACGTTGATTACAATATTGTGAATCCACGTCATGTAATCAAAAATTCGTGTATATAAAGAATATGCGTAACTATCGCAGTGTCTCTCCCCTCCCGACTGCGTTGTGCCAAGGCTAACACTAACAATACCTCCTAAATACCATAATCCGCCTCTCTGGACAACCAAGCCGCCACCGCTGTCACCATCACAAACCGATGTACCTACAATTTACATATTTTTCATATTATTTTTTAAATCATTTAAAATTTTATCGGTATTTTTTTAAATGGGACCATGTATTTTTTTGTTCATATTCTTATGGAGGGTTTTTTTCCATCATCAAATGTGCCCCTTGAAATAGTATAACTTTGTCCTCTAGAGTTTTTTCATACGACCAAAAATAACGGAGTTATTTAGATATTCTCATTTAAATGCTCCATCCTCGCTCTCTCTCTCTCTCTGCGCGCGTGTGTGTGTGGTGTGTGTATGTGAGAGAGAGAGAGAGAGAGAGAGATTTATTTTAAATATAAAACAATAATTATCAAATATATAATTGAAATATAATGTTTTACGAACCATCTGTATAACCTGCACAAAATTTATCAGCTGTGATATACTTTTCAGTCTCAAATTGAATACTTGATGATTTGCATTGTTGAAGTGTAACATATGGCACTGTAATTGCTTGTAAAATGAAGCTAGATTCTCCTACAGCAGTTCTTCCAAATCCTGCCACTTTTCCGAAAATTCCAGCTTCTAATAATGGATTGTAACTGTTAGCAAAATCTAAACATATTGGTATTAATGTAGTTGTAAATGCAAATGATTCTGCAATTTCTAGTATAGCTATGTCTTCAGCATAATTTCCGTCAAGTCCAAGATAGGTACAACGAATATACACATTCTTTACCTAAAATATAAGTATTAAAAACATTATTAAAATAAATTAAAAGAGCAAAATAATAAATACATGTACCTGGGCTTTCCTCACTATTCTTATATCGTGTAAAGGAGAATCAAAATCTCTATAAATGTTTCCTGTGACTATGTGAAATGTTGAAGCATCTTGTACTTTTCTATTAATTTCGTCATAAATACAATGTGCTGCTGTTATTAAAAGTCTTTCAGCAACAATAGTTGCACCACAAATAAATTTTTTTGGTGAAGAAGGACTCTCTGCTCTATAGAGTGTAGCATGCCATGGAAATTCAGTAATGTGAGGTAAAGTTCCATTTACAATAAGTGGTACATTTCTTGGGGATGAAAGACCGCATGCTAAAACATGCATTTTAGTTGTTAAATTGCTCAAAGACAATTCTGTAGTTATTATTAGATAAATTAGATAAATTATAACAATAGATAACATAGAAAATATTAACAAATTTTAATGGTAATAATTTCAATCTTATTGTATACTATGACCACTATAATATGTGTAATCATACTAATTATTAAAAGTAATTAATAACTTAAAATTACAGAATTATTTAATAACAATTTACAATAGATAGTTCACATATACTTGAGTGAATACTTTATGTGAATAAATAATAAGAAATATACTGAAACTAACATACAGAAATAAATAAATACTTTCGTTATAATTTTTATACACTGTTTTGTAATTTAAACTTCATTGGATAATGTACATAAATATGTTTAACATATGGTAACTTGTCCCATCATGGCTACAAATATAAGTTTTCCAAAAATTAAAATGTTTGCTATAGTAATTTTAATTTATAAATATCAATTCCATTCATGGCATTATTTATATTGTACTTTTAGATCAAATTTACATTTTTCAACGATTCCAGATAATGTTTTTATCTTTAGTTTCTGTATCCATTCTAATATCAATATCTGAATTATCATATTTCCCTTTATTTGTATAAATAATAATTTTATCGTCAGAAACTTCGATCAAAGTAGATTCATTTTTTTGTACATTAGTTTGTAATGAGACAGAAGAATCATTAACATAAATATTTATTATTGTCGGACCTGGGATGCATCGTATCGGTTCCGGTTCCCATTGACCAGTTCTATTACAGGTAACTTGTGATGAAGTGACAGAAAATAATGTCTTATCTTGATTATAACTAATTCTACATGCTAATCTTGCTACTGTCCCGGGTAAGACAGAAGATGTACACGGTACATATTCTCCATGGTATGAACATTCTGCCTTTCTTGAAGCTGAATGCAAAGCTTTACAGCGTATTTCTGTAATATACAAATATATTTAATCAAATTTTCTTACAATTATATATTTGTCTTGCTTTAATTTTCGTACCTGTACAAACTGGAATATTTAACCATTTACCTCTTGTATCACAAAATACCTCAAGATTACCTCTAATCATATAGCCAGGATTACAACCATAAATTAACCGAGTACCTTGCTCTAACCGAGTACCTTGATTAACATCACAATGGTCACATAATTGACCATCTACATCAGCATTACAACACAGTGATTTATGTAATTTCCAATATCCATATTCTGGTTGTGGTGGTACAGTACAATATCCTAAAGTTGGAGGATGGTAAGGTCTTGAAGTAGTGGGTCGTGAAGTGAAATCATCTGATATATCAGGTTGATATGAAGTGGTAGAAATTGTAGTGGGTCGTGAAGTGAAATCAACTGATGTATCAGTGTCTCTACATAGTTCAGGACTTTCATCTGAACCATCTGCACAATTACTGACACCATTGCATTTTAAGTCACCATCAATACAGGCACCATAGTTACATCGAAAAAGACGCTGTAAGCACCTACAAAAAATGATAAATATATGTAAATGCATAAACATGAACATTCTCAATTTTTATATAAATAAAAAAGGTTACAATATAAGCAAAATTATGATATAATTTCAACATATGAATAGACATTTAATTTCTTTATTCAAAAACTTACGGTAATGATCCACATTGAATAAATGTTTCATCTGAACCATTTGTACAGTCCGCAGTACCATCACATAATTTACCCTTATCAATGCACTGCCCATTATTACAATTAAATTGACTTTTTGAGCATAATGTGTGTTCATTTTGTGAAGTGCCTGTACATCTAGATAGTGTTTCATCACTATTATCAATACAGTCTTTTATTCCATTGCAAGTTGCATCTCCATCTACACATGCACCATATGAGCATCGAAATGCATAATCTGGACATGCAATTCCAGGTTTATTACACTCCATAATTGTTTCATCAGATTTATCTTTACAGTCTACTTTTCCATCACATAATAATGAACTTAATATACAATCTCCATTTTTACATTGAAATTTTTCCAAACTATTAAGAAAATTTCAATAAATTTATTATTTAATTTGTTATATTTATTTCTTATTGTACACTACTATTAAAGTAAATATGATACTTTATTGACATAAAATAAT